TTGTTTATATAGGCATAAAAGAACAGATCAGCTTTTATGCAGTCAAAACACTTTTTGACGACAATAATGTGAAATATTTGGATTACTACAAAATCAGTGCAAACATTTTCTATTTGGTCAGAAATCTTTGGCTGTATGAGTTTGAAAGTGGGCTGCAAGATGGCTCGGTGCTAGGAGATCCCCGGTTCGCGTCCTGGTTAGGACACCCGGGATCTTTCTGCGTGGAGTTTGCATGTGATCCCTGTGCAGTGTGGGTTCTCTCCAGGTTCTCCGGCTTCCTCCCACACAGTCCAAAAACATGTTGAGGTTAACTGGTGATTCTAAATTGTCCGTACTCTTGGTGTGCCTGGTTGTCTGTCTCTAAGTGTCCCCCCATGACCCTAGTGAGGATTAAGCTGTGTGTAGATAATGGATGGATGTTTGAATGTGCTGTAAAAATGCATCCGTATGGGAACAGTAGAGAAACAGTTCCCCGAAAAACTTCTGCCAGAAAAATACTAGCAACTGGATGTAACTACCATTCTATACGTGCACAATCTGCAGTATTGGTTGTGTTTGGTGGCCTGACGGGCTGCCAGAGTTTGGTTTGCATGGGTGCAGATTTCATTTGAACACTCGGGGGACACAATAAGCAGGAGTCTGAGCGTCCCTCCCCCAGGGGACCCCTGCTTAACCCCCGCTTAGTGTGCTTAATAGGACATCAATCACTTAATTTCCTGCATTCTGGTGACTTTTTATTCACCAATTTGTGCTTTTTCTTGATCAATTTATGTTGATAATGTCCTTATTTATGTAAAGGAAAGCACAACAGTCTGGCACCAGGTGGCAATTCAATGTGAAGCAGTCAGGGTCTCAGGCATCCTGCGTTGCTTTCAGATGTATTTTCTCCTGTCGATAAGTGCAGTCTCTGGAAGTACCAACCATAAATTACTCTTCTGTCCTCTTTTGTGTCTTTTGTTTGGGGGAGTAATCTCTTTAAGATGCATGTGACTTTAATAACTAACATCATGTTTCAGCAAGATTTTTGCTCATGTTTATAACTTTTATGCACACTAAGGACATGTGTAAAATCTACGCCAAAGATTTTGAATAACAGGCTTTCCAGTGTAGAAATTGGACAAACCAGCTTTAAAATGTTTAATTCTGTTGACAGATTAGCCTCATCATGTATTTATGACATGATATATGAACAAGTTTCTCTGTAAAAACCTTTAGTATATAGATGTCATATCAGACTGATGATATAAAATTAATAAAAATAGCAGATTTGCTGTTGTTTCTAAACTCTCCATCACAAGACTATTCCTAATCCATTAAAGAGGAATTCTGCTGTTGGACAGAGCCAAGACTCACTCAAGCAGTGACTCTGAGGCTCCAGAACCTCATGGAGCCTGAAGGCTTGAGGAGGCAATAAGTTTTTATTTATCTGATTAACTGAGCATTTATTTAATAATACCGTTTATGCTGCTAAACCGCAGTTTAAACCGATTTTAAGGCCGTTAGCTGACACAGGATTTGGAGGCGCCACTTTGTAAACAAACCACCTCGCTCAACAGCCCTAATTATTTCATTTCATACTGCATTTATATCACAAAAAAAATCCTTAAAAATGGTCTTTTTAAAGTTGTTTCTTACTAATTTGGACACATTTTGCTCATAGTTGGAGAAAGCAGGACTGAGTGCATAAATAAAAACCTTATATACTTCATCATTTTTATATTAAAATCAGGCTTTCTGTTACTCTCCTCCCTCTTTCTCTTAAAAAGCGTGGAATGAAAGTGGGGAATCCCCTTCCTCTAACAGCCCACTTGTGAAAACAGGAATTACATGCAGCAGAACTGCGATAAAACCATTTATTGTACAAACAACTGTTTACTTTTAAAGCATGATTACCATCTTCACAGCAGCGACTCCAGAGATAACCGAAGACACTGAACCGTTATCTGTTTTTGGCAGGTTCCCCCGGGTGTTGTGGAGATCAGACCAGCAACCTGCTGGTTACACTGCAGTCTCTCTAACCACCAGCCTATTTATAGATACTGTTTTCATACGCAGGTTTCAGATTGTAAGCTGATATAGATGCGGCTCTCGCTTTACACACTTAAGGGCTCCTATAGAACATTCAATCAATCACTCCATGTTCATTCTATATAATCTCCTGCGTGGTACTAAATGTGTTTTTACCAGTTTATTTAGCAAAGAAAACAGAAAAAACAGAGAAATACTAACAATTTCATGCTTGAGTGACACTTCTAAGTGAAAAGGCGTACAAATGTGATAATAGTCAGTGTGAGTTTTGCAGAAAATGCGGAACCGGGCTTATAAAACTATTCTAAAACTCTGGGGAAAACACCGAAGTGAAAGTTAATATAAAGCCCAGGAGACCAGCCACTGAAGGACAAAGCAATCACGTGCGAGTAAAGTGCTGAAAAAGTGTGTTCCCACCAGCTTCAGCGCAGACACACTGTGACTACTCTGTCCTAAAACAAAGTGGTAATGAAACACTCCTGCATTGTTCTTTTCTTTGAGATAATTACAGCTTTTACACATTCAGGAATCCGACGTTGCGTGCAGCACGGTGTTATTATCATGCACTGAAGCTTGAACTGATAAACTCGCTCCCTCAGCACTTTCAGGCGGACATCATATTTATTCACTGAAGATAAGCAAAAATGCTTGTTTCAATGTGGCTCCCTCACGTTGAGCCACCGGTCTCCCTCTGCAGTGACGTCTTTATAGCCTCCGAGTCCTCATCAGGGGGACGTGAACTCTGCAGGGGAGCCTCCATCTCCTGCAAAATTTAACCCACTCCGTCTCCCAGCACTGCAGCTCAGCTTCACTGTGATTAAAGCATGACCCATGATGTGTCACCACACTGTACCCCCTGCCTTTCGTACCCTCTGGTGGTTTATTTATATCCTCAAAGAGCTATAAATCCCCAGGTGAAAGTGCTGCCCTTTTCACCGATCAATCTCCCCTCCTGGGCCTTTTGCATCCGAGCGGTAAAGTTAGTGCAGCGAGGAGGCTCGTGTCTTTATGAGATGATAATTCACGTCTTGTTTTCTCCCAACGAACAGCTAATGTGTTAATGATACCAACGATTTGGGTGAAACAGTGTTCAGCAAGGCTTATTTCTCACTACTGGCATAAATACATAACGCTACATAAATGCTCAAACCCCCACAGTAGCACTAAATAGTTTATGAGCATTTATGGCCCGTGACCTTTGTAATTGTGGTTACCTCATTGCGGTTTTTATGCAGCAAAATTGCTTCTCAGTAAGCACTATTACGTTTTCTTCCATGCAGGCAAGGCTGCACTGGCACCACCTCCCCTGTGACCAGTGGGTGCACATCCACACAGGCTGTCTGGGACATTTGGTTTTACAGTCTGTGAAAACAGCCTTTGTTAAACACAACATTCCTCGCTAGTCACATTGGTGAGCCGGTCCTTGCACACCTCAAAACCCCCCCCCCCCCCCAGGCTCACGGTCCCATCCCCTGCCAAGGCTTGACCATCCAGAGCGGGGAGAGGTCACCTCACTGCTGACGCTACACACTTGTGTTTGCAGCACCACATAGGTCTTCGCCATAATGAGATCCCTCTGAAATGACCCTCTGCAGAACACGCTGACCTTTGGACGGTAAATGTGAAGACAATTAGGACAAGCATACCTGTTACAGAGCATACACACATGACCAAATATGAAGCTGGAGAACACGAATATTTCTAAAATGTTACCTGCATTTCCAGAATATTTCATTTGCAACCAAGATGTGCATGCAGGTTAATTAAAATTCATGCAGAATCGTACTGTACTATTGCAGGTTTGGAGACAAAAGGCCACATGCAAATTAAGGTATTTTGCAGCAGGGATTGCAGCAAATTTACAGCAAAGTGTCTCTAACAGTTTGGGGCTCCAGACAAAACAAACTAGTTCAGATCTAGTAAGCAAAGCATGAAGCATATATGAAATGCATGTGACAAGATACGAACCTGCACATGCAATGAATCCAACTGAAGAAGCAAGAAGATAAAAATGTGTGGCAGTGGATTTAGATCGCCATCTGCTGGAGGACAGCGTAAAAACAAAGCCAAATTAAATTAAAGCAGAATAACTTAGTGGTTAGCTGTTTGAACTTCTAAGTCACAGGTTTATTTTGGGAAACTGATCCAAACTAGAAACTGGTTGCAACCCCTACATTCATCTCAATTACAGGCTTGACCACCGGTAAACAAAACTAACCAGCAATAAACTGTTTCATTCTTAAACGATGCATAAACACATCACGGGTTTTTAATGTTATTCGGAGGTCACCCAGTTTGTTTTCTGCTCCGTGTGGAAAGATGTGATGCTGTAGATGATGTGATGACAGGGAGGCGAGCTGAGAAACACACTAAAAGCTCTGCAGGAGAGAGTGAGGACATGGGCAATTTGCAGTGAAGGTAAAGCTGCTGAGTGAAAAAAAGAAGAAGCAAAGCAACACTTTATTTTTTTTTCTTAAAAAAAAAAAAAAAAACGACTTCTCAGGGGAAAATATGAGTGGGAATCTGTAGATAATCCAACTTCCCATGCAGGAAAATGTGGTCCATCTTAAAGACAGTGTTACTAAGCCAGTTGTGTGGGTCAGTTTACTGTGTTTACAAAGTTGGATCTGGTCTTTTGAGAAAACACAATATTTCCCAAGATGACCACAGGAGATATTTTGTTCACATAGTTGGTGCAGACACATCTCATTTGTAACATCTGTTCACACTAACAATTATCTCAGAACAAATGTGGAAAACTCTGGTTTAAAACAACTCTCATCCTTTGGCAGCCACGTGAGGCGGACGCATTGTTTTCCCTCCATTTTTAGCACAAGTTAAATGTTTCTCAGTTATCAAAATCCGCACAATGGTACAAAACAAGCCTTAGGAACACAACACTGAATCCACTGTTCAAGTAAACAACAAGTTTGATTCTTCTGCAGCGAGTGAAAAGTAGATACGAGCCTTTCTTGTTTTTATGTGCCATATTTTTATTGCAATGAATTGTAACAAAATACAACACAAAAAGTCTTGAAGCAACACACAGCGGAGAGACAACAGGATCAATAATCAAATAAATACCCTTACGTGGCCAAATACTTTCAAAAGAAAATTATAGAGATGCTCTTATTAAAGCCCCTTTCAGACATGAACTCTGTCGGCTTCATGTTTGAATGAACACGCTGGCTGCAGTATTATTAGTGTGGAAATAGGAATGTTTCTGTTCTGCTTTTAATACAGGACGAGTCTGAACTGCACATTAACAAATAGGCACATACAATTAATGTAGCTCCAGCTGTTTGTAGGAGTCTTTCCTCTGAGTTTACTACAAACTTGCAGCTTCAGACTGCAGCATGTGAAAGAACATTAATCTATTATCATTACAAATGATCAGAGAGAGGATCATTCAGCATCTAAGCATCTTTAGCACACCTCAGACAGGTGAGCTGCTACAGAGTCACAGCTTATACCATTGATAGATTCAGTGGTAGATATGTCATTGCACAGAATACAACGCAACACAATCGTTGCGTTTGTTAGAAAGCTCGGGTTAGTTTGTTACATAGCTTTAGACTTTTGCTTCACTAGTGCATTATACGTCACTTGTTCCATATTGCATGTCTGAAAAGGGCTTTTCTAAATTCACCTCTCAGCAGTGCACTGCAGTATTCCTGCACATAAAAGTACACAAGTTTAAACACAATCTACTATGAATGAGTCAAATCACCAAGGCAAACATGTCACAGATTCAAAACAAGAAGCCGATGTAGGAAGAAGGCGACCAATTATCGGATGCGATATTCAGCATTTATTTTTGTTTTTGATTATCTGTATCGGACTCCTGATCAAATAAGTGAATTAATAAATGTGCTCTTTTGGCTCTCATGGCTCTCGTTACCTGTAGTCACGCTGTGGTCTTTAGCAACGTCCCGCCCACAGCAGAATCTGATTGGCTACACATCATGACTATCAGCCCATCAACAAACACAAACAATTGGCATTTCGATGAAGATTTGTGTTGAAGTTTTGTAACTTCTGATCTCAAAATTTTTACTACAAATGCATATCAGCTGCAAATATCCAGACCCAGTCTCCTTGATAATTTATAATCTGTACCAGTATTGGCCCAGAATTTTAAAAAAAACATATCCACTAATTGTAAAGCTGATACGATTGTTGTATTTGCTTTAGTCTTCTCTTAGATACGCCTCAGGAATTTCCTCCTCCTCATTACTGGCAGCCTGCTGTGTCATCCTCTCAACCTCCAGGACTTTCGTCTCGGCCAACTTCTTATCTGCATCCAGCGAGATTTTCTGAGCCTCCTCCACCTGCGTCAGCGCCACCTGAATGTTCATCCTCATCGTGACGGACGCATGCTCAGCTCCTGACAACACACAGACGCAAACACAAAGATCAGAGGCCGACACAACACCACCTCAGGTTCAGACGTTAGGCGTGGTCATTAAGCGGGCGCTCTCGTCCGTCATCTGCGTTTTGTTTGGCACAAAGCCCCGCCGAGTGACAGCAAACGATCCGAACGTCGTCCAAAGTGTGACGCTGACAGCAGCTGAATGGCGACAGGCGCAAACAGCGACGCACAAAGCTTCGAGAAAATGACCCACACTTTGATTTATCACCGCAAAAGCCCTGAGAAAACCAAGCGTGACACCTCGACCATTTCAGCCCACAGCTATTGAACTCAGGTCACATTAGCTTTTACACACCTGACGTGTACGCTGCCTCCGCTGCCGTTTCACACAGCTTCACCGCGCCGATCCAGGTGGACTCCAAACGCTTGCAATCATCTTGTCTGTCATTGATCTGTCAGGGCAGGAACAATTACAAAAGTCAGACTCAAACAGACCTACAACTGGATGCTTCTTTGAGCAGTTTGTGAGTCATTTTTGAAAAACTGGATGCTTCGCTTGAAGTACTTTTAAAACAGACTCACCTCTGCACGCTGGCCGATGATCACCTGCCAGATGGAATCCTCTTCGGCCGAGGTCAGTTTTCCCAGTGAGGCTAAGTATCGCCTTTGTAGGGCAATGAGTGTGTGCACGGCCTGTAAGCAAGAACAAGGAGGACAAATACGGTTTATATTTAAAACTACAGACACAGGAGGATCTTCTGGGGTTCTAGATGATAAATTTAGATAAAATCCTCCACCAGTAGAAGCCAGGAAACTTTTCTGATCTAAAAAAAACATTCTTACATACTTTAAATACCAAAAACTAAATGTCATTCCCCTCTGTTGTTTAGGAGCAGCTGCAGATGTCACATAACTCACAATCAAACCAAAGCTCATTCTGTGTGTCTTTCATTACACTCGGGGAGAAACGGGTGTGTTTTCATGTACACTGAAGGTTATACGGCCATCCTTAACTAAACAAACTACAGCTTGTGAGCACATGTGTTGCCATTTCTGCTGGCTTGTCTTGCATCAGGACGCTGACAGTTCTATGATTTCCACCTCTGACCTGATGTGCTTTCAACCGTATTACAAGACAAACTGAGGCCAAAAGAAGGAAAAGGTGTCAGCATGTCTTACTTCTACCTCTAAAAAACTAAAGTCAGTGTTTTAATTTATTGCTAATAGAAAAACAATCTTTGATGAAATACCAGAAATGCTCCTCTCAGATGTGTTTCAGTGACAGCAGATGATAGGCTGTTACACCTTCATAAGAGAGACACAAATTGAACTGTAGCTTGTAGTCATGTCCAAGCAGCATGTCATTGTTGGAAAAAAAATCTGATTTCCAACATAGTCAGAGAGCATGAAATGAGAGGAGCACAGGGACATTTGTAAACACATTAACATGCTGCTTAACATGTTGTTACTGAGCAGGTAAGAAGCTATCTGGCCTTCAAACTAAAGGACTTTGATTCGATGAATGCAAACAAAGACGCGTGTTCATGTTGTAGGATAAAATGGAGGCTTTAACAGGAAAACTAATGTGGGCTGAGTCTGAGTCACTCTTGGGTTGTGTATCAGAGTGTGATCGTGTGCTGGTGTTACAGCTTTAAGCAAGATTTAATTGGAATAATGTCTCTGTTCTCACAATCAAAGACTGGAAAGTTACTCTTTGTAGTTAATAGAAAACTTGGGGTTGTGGCATATTGTTGCCTACAAAGTGACCTTTAAGAGTTAAATGCAGCTTGGTTAAAGGTTCTCCGGTAAACCAGGGTAACTTCTCCCCCCGTTTCTCCACATCTGTTCTATTTGCACAGGAGTCACACATCATTTGTTATATATATATATATATATATGTGAGTCTGTATTCTGTGTAAAATATGCAAATACATCCCTTTCATGCTATTCCTCTTCTATCTTTATCACTTGTCACTGTCAGAATAAATAAAGACTACCACCAGGAGACCACCGGTTACACTGACATAACACAAGATTACTGAGCAAGATTCTAGCTTTGGATATAACTGTTAGACCACTGTCACCACTATTTTCTGCCTCTTCCATTGCGAGTCTTGGTGGAATTTTACTGCGTTTCTTCCTAAAGTTGTGTTGGATAGTGTTTAGCTGATTCTAGCCCATTTTTTAAAGAAAAAAGCAGGTGGTCTTGTTATTATGTTCAAAGCTCTATACTGTGGTGTCTGTGAAGATTCTCAGTCATCCAGGTCATGGATATTCAATAATTTCCCTGAGGTACCCTACCAAAGGGATCATTAAAGATCTATGTAATCTAATCTAATTCTGGTAGATTAATCGTAGCAACTGGACTTGCTTGAGTTCGTTGAAGACCTTTCACCTCTTATCCAACTGATGAAGCCTCTTGGATGAGAGGTGAAACGTCTTCAATGAACTCAAGCAAGTCCAGTTGCTATGATTAATCCATACTGTAGTGGAAAATGGACTAAGACACACCAAGAGCTCCCACACAGCACGTATAATTTCTGGTAATACATTTCAAATCTCTCAAACTAAATCTTGCAATTGTAACATCGAAGGAGGAACATTAACTTTAAGATCCGTACTTACTTTAGAGTATTCTGTGATGGCATCTACGAGAGCCAAAGTGGTCTGAGACAGGAAAGTGGTGGAGCTGTCGGTCACCAGAGAAGCTGCTCTTCTGATCAGAGAGTCATGAGACAGATTTTCAACCTGCAGCACAAACAGGAGATCAGTGTAAGTTTAAGTTCACACCGTAAAATGTAGGTCACACTGCTGTGAACCTTACACCTGATCGTCTGGTCTGACAGGAGACAAGACTCACCTGTTTGAAAGGTACAGCACACAGACCTCCACCAACCGCTAAAGACGCCACACCTGTGTACAGAACACTGGTCCATTTTCCAGGTTTACTGCCTGCAGCTTTACTGCTGCTGAAGATGGCTCGAACTGAACTCCTGAACGACACACATGAACAGATTCAGTCACGTTAAATAACTCATTTACCGTATTTATTGAGTCACTTCTCTAATATGCCCGACAATAAAAATAAAAAAAAAAAACCAAAACAAAACAACAACATCATTTTCTCAGAGCTGTATTGTGAATTTCAGACAAAAACAAGTTCAAGGTGTGATCCAGGAACTTCCTGTTATCGCTGCTGACGCTGTTATCAAATAAAACACTTTCATTTTCTCACATTAAAGAATTTCGCTTATAACAGACGCTCGGTTTAACACAGCGTGTGTGTACAAGGTGAAATACTTTCACCAGGATAACGTTATGTCACGATAAACACATTTTACCTGACGAAACTGAGGTACGCCGTCCCCCGCCTGAGCGCGGCCATGTCGGTCCGCCGCAAAATATGTTCGTGTCGTTGTGCGAAGGTTCCTCTTGTGGTTGATGTGTTTTCGTTTTCGTTTTTGTTCTAAATGGTTGGCAAAAAACCAAACAAACAAACACATCAGCTGATCTCAGAAGTCTAGATTTAACTGGAGCTCGTTTATTTTATTTTTTTCAAGGGATCTGGATTAAATAAAATCCATATATCCAATCCAATAAAATAAAGGAAACTAAGTCAAAATAAAATGAAATTAACTTATTGTATGATTAAATTAAATTAAATTAAATTAAATTAAAAACTACTGTTAAAAAAATAAATCTAAATTAAATAAATGTCATTTAATTTAATACAGGATATTTCCCCATGTTGTCACACCCATATGTTTTAATACATTTTAAATAATATCAATATTTAGAATAATTTATCATTTTATATTTACGTGAAATGAAATAACATGATATGAAATGAAATTCCAATATCATTTCCTCTCAGTCAAATATATTCACGCCATATTACAAAAGTATTGAAATTAATTAAATTTAATTTAATTTAATTGAGCTGAATGGAAGTGAATTAAATTGAAGTTAAATGTCTGAGGAAAATATTATAATTTAATTTAATTTAATTCCTTAGGTGTTGAAATTAAATTTAATTAATTACTTTTCTGAGGGATTGAAACACAGAAACAACTTTACTTAAGAAAAAATTAGATTTTTTAAAAATATATAATATGTATTACATTCTACCATTACAAACAGTGTGTTGTTTAGTCCTGTATAGCCAAATACTCTCCTCTCTCTCGTTTCTTAAATCATCTTTTTTATTCAACTCTTTTCCTCCATCTGTGCCTAATTACACTTTTCATTTGTGTTTGACAAAAAATATTTGTTATATCAATGTGTTTTGTTTTTGTATCATGTCAGACGATCTTGAGCTACCTTAAAGGGGTAAATTAACCCAATAATTAGGTGAAAGCTGAACAGTTTCCCCTGCTGTTGGCCCACACGCTCTACGCTGCACAATGTCGCCCTCTTGTGGTGAAACAGCAACATGATCTTGTGCTCAACCGTGTTTGCCTGCCTGACCTCAGAGTTTCATTGAGGATTTTTTTTCTTTAGCTTGTGCGGTTGTGTTCTTCAGGACATTTTGACGTTAGATTTTAAGAAAATATGTCAATAAATTAGGGTTAATGTTTCGCATGAACTGGTTTTCATATTACTGTAAAAGAGCATGGGCCCTGGAGCACAGATGAGATCAGGCCTTCCCAGCTGTTGTAATACCTCGTTTAATTTTCCAGTAAGAAATGTTGGGTTATTTGGGTACTCAGCTGGAATTCCACACAAGCATCATTATTTTCATTTTAAATTCCAGGCATGTAATGATGAAGCAGCACTGTGCAAATGACAGGCTCACAGATGGCCTTTGGAATCTGCTCGTGGCCACAGAGTGATGTGTCAGGAAAACGTGTGAATATGAAAATTAAACTGACATAGAATTAAAGAGTAATTACAGTGAGCTGAGAGGAAATCATTCAGATTGAAAGCAGACACCGAAATAATGAGGGAAGATTTATAGTGAAATCTGATGTTTGGTGCTGATTGTAGCGCAGAAGGAGGGATTTTAGTTACGTTGTGATATTGAAGTAATTCAACCATACATGTTCTAACCAGGAACCTGAGGATACAGAAAGTTTCATCCTGCAGACTGACACAATTCATTCTTACATATGAAGTCCTGGGAGTCTAAATCTGTGCTTTTGATGCTGTCAGTGGTACATATTAGTACTGTTCTGCACATATTAACAAGGTAAAAGAAAAAAAAAAGCTTTATTTTTACTGGAGGAGGTCTTTAAGACAAAAAGAGTATTTATTAAACACATTTCGTTTGATAATTTAAACATTAGGGCTACAAAACCCAAAAGATTAGTCAGAAAACCAAACAAATCAGAAGATTTCCTTTGAGCAAAACATTTTCAACTGTGACGAGGAAGGAGCAGAAACAGGCTCAGCAGGTGTCCGTCTGACTCAACTGGTTAGGGCAAAAGGGAGAGAGAACAGGGCAGCAGATAAAAATCAGACAACCAAAAACTACACTGACCGGGCAGCTCGGTTGGGTTGGTAATGGCACATCTTAAATGTGCAGTGCTTGAGCCAGAAATACCTGCAGAGAGGATACAGCTACAGCAGAGGGAAGACATAAGGTTAATGACATGCAGCAGTGCATGAAAATGAATAAAAGTGTCACACACAAAAAAATGCACATATTAGGAAAAATATATGAGCAGGAAAACTGAGGACAGAGCACATTGGGGAGATTAAAAAGTAGAAAGGTATAGACCATAGAAAGCAGTGACGAAAGTTCATGGGTTCAAAGTAACAGGACAGAAACACAATATGAAGTTAATATTTAGTAAAACAAAAAATCTTTTGCATAGTCAATTCCTGAAGTCTGTGATCTACAGACATCAGCAGATGCTTTGTTTCCTTCTTGGCCTTTACTGCAGCCACCCTCAGTTCCTGCTTGCTTTGGGTTCTGCTGTTGAGAACATAAAATGCACAAATGCAGAAGTAAGATGTGCTCATGGACATGGAAATCAACATTGTTCGACCTCTTTGCCATGAACAGACCTCTGTTTACTCTGGTCATTTCTCTACGATTGTTGTCCTGCTGAAATGTTGAAATGTTGAGTTTTAATGGCTGAACTGAGCTCAAGGAATCCTCCCGAAGACCTCTGAATTCACCCTGTAGCTTCAGTCAGCAGTGAAACCATTAATAAAAGCCACTTCTATGAACATCCCAGCCTGTTCAAACCAAAACAGAACCATATATTTTGGGTTATGGGCTGTTTCTTTTATTCTCCCACTTTCATGGTTCCAATATTTTTGAAAGAGGTTGTTTTCCATGTAAAATTCTAAACTCTGGAACATGTCTGACCAGTAATATGACATTCAATCTCTTTGTTTAAAGTTTCATTGTTGAAATATTAGTTTTTCTAATTCCCGATGCGATTGTTTTCCTCCTGCTACACATGTACTCATTAACGGCCAGTCAACGGAGCAGTCTTTAAATAATTAATGATGCCATTAACCGTCGCTTTTAATTAGTTTCACTGGAGTTTGTTGTTACACGCTGGAGTGCAGACGACTGGCTAATTATAATCATCTTCATCACAACATTAAAGAAAAAAATATCTGATGAAAAGCAGTGCAATACTTTCCCACAAACTATTAGAAGCTGATGAAATTAAAAACTTGTAAATATAACATAAGAACTCAGTTATTACTTTTCACTATGAATATATATTTAGTTTTTACTGATGTGGAGGAAAAAATCAATATATAGTGCAGACAGGTGAAGAACAGTACATTTATTAAATTTCTGTTTATTTATTTTGTGTGTGAAAATAACGAGAGCACACATTTTCTCAACATGCACAGTCAGCAGAATCAACGCTTTGTATGAGCACCATGTGTGCAGCTTTATGTTGGACTTAGGATACCAGTTATGTTATTCTCTGCCTGTTCTGAGCACACATGTGTACATGCGTTTCTTTAACACTGTGGAACAACTGGGTGCCACATCAACTGCAACGCTGCCTTTTCATTCATCTCCATGAGGGCTCTGCATTGGAACAGCAGTGGTTCATGTAAGTAACACAGGGTGATCTAGTGCAGAGCAAAATCAAAGGCTTTATGTAAAACATCCATCCATCCATTATCTATACACCGCTTAATCCTCATTTGGGTCAGCAGGGGACTGGAGTCTATCCCAGCTGACTCAGGGTGAAGGCAGGGGACACCCTGGACAGGTCACCAGTCTATCACAGGGCCACACTTAGAGACAGACAACCAAGCACACTCACATTCACACCTATGGACAATTTAGAATCACCAATCAACCTCAGTTTTCGGACCTTGTGGGAGGAAGCCGGAGAACCCGGAGAGAACATGCAAGCTCACGCAGAGGGATCCCGGTGCCCCCACCGAACGCGAACCGACAACCTTCTTGTTGTGAGGCAACAATGCTACCAACTGTGCCACCCTGCAGCCCCTATGTAAAATATGTTCAACTAAAATTTAATGTTCTGAATACTAAAAATAAAATGCTCTTTAATAGGTAGCCCTGTATATCTCTTTAAAGGCCACTTCTGAGTCTACCTGTGCAGACAGAATGTGGTTGTATTCAAACGACAACAGCTACATGTTGCATCGGCCCTCATATCAAACAGAAAAACAAGGCTCTTGTTGATATTTCTGAGAAGTTGGCTGTGGATTTGCACTTTCTACACTACACAGCAGCGAGTTCCAGATTTGGCTGCAGCACCTCATCAATGTGATCATTCCATGGACACAGTACAGGATATGTGGAGACTCTAGAAGTTCCCACTGTCTTTGACCACCATTGACACACAAATCAAAGCAACCTCCAAACTCTGACAGTGACTCCCTTGATTACAACTTTTTAATGATGAATTATAAAAGGTGTGGATCTCCTTGTACAGTCTCTCTGCATAACAAGCATTTGTTTTACACACCACTGGCTGTCCTTACACAGTGCAGACAGTCTGTGCGGTCACAAATTATGGGCTGCAGACGTCCAAGTAGATCCTCGGGAATTGAGCGGATAATGAAATGTACATCATGCGTACCCTTGCAGAGCCTTGTGGAAGGAAAGTGGCCATCTTCATCATCAAGAATCCACAGTAAAAACATGACATATCATTCCTGTTGGAGACAAAACACTTGATTTTGGCGCCATATTGATACCGAATATTTATTTGGTGCTCTAACTGCAGCCCAGGGAGTGATTCCTCTTTACCTGCAGCTGCACATTTCTGAACCTTTTATAAATCTGTTGTGGCCTTTTTTCCTTCTTCTATACTGACACAAACCCTCCTAAAAACAGCCTCATAAAAAATATCTCCTGATGTATTCTTACAGCTTTTTTTTTGTCCAGCCAAGCAGTCTTTGCTGTGTCACTTGTTTAACGGCATCTTTGCTCCAATCAGTAAAACGAGCTTCTTGTTTGTTGAATGTGGTTCATTATTTCTTAGTTTATGACCCACTTAGGGGGGTTTATGTCAGGATTTTGACAGCACTTAGGTTTTCATCAGAGACAGGAAACATGGAAGAAAGACAAAGTCTAGTTACACAGTTTGTGACCGTTAGAACATCAGAAATTCGAGAGTTTGGGTGTTTTAACAAATGTGAAACCTCAAAAACAATCACAAAAATACTGTGTTCTGTTTTATTTGATGAATGAGCAGTTATACTCAACAGGTTGTAGGAACAGGGAATACATTACACTATGGTTCAGTTTGGTTCTGATTGCATGACTCCATCAATATCAAGACAAAGTGTCAAACTAATACAAGCATGTTCATCATAGTTTGGATTCACAAAGAGAAATTACTAGTTTTTTGACTGAAACTTTTTTTTTTTTTACCTGTTGTTGTGTCATCCACCTGCACTCAGAACAGACATCAGCAGGGGACAGTATAAATAATTAATGAACCAATTAACCTTTAATGAGTCTATCAGCCATAAGAGAATAGTGACAATCTGCTCATTAGTGTCGCTGTTCTGTTTGGAGTCTGAAAGCACACAGAGAAAAACAAAGTGACACCAATGATCCCTCATGACTCCTCTGTGGTAACCTGTGCTGCTCTGAGTGCAAAGAGCTGATGACAAACTAAAGTTTGATTGTACAGCAAACTGCCATAGAGATAGAGATCAGCATGAGATGATTTAGTTTAAACTGGGAGCCTGAGTTTTGGGCTGACATGTTAGAAAGAGTCTCCACCACCATCAACAACAGCATATGAGGGAAAATCTTTTGGAAGAATGTTGTTCACGTGTCCTGTAGAGTCACAGAATCACAAAGGTGCATTCACACAACGTCATCAGTCCTTTTGACGTAGGCAGTAAGATTTTCAGATTTCATTTGTGATATAGTTTAGTTTGGTTCAATATATACAGATTGAAAATGTGATATGGAGCATTAAAAGCGCATCTGTAGCACAAGCAGGACAGCATGAGTTTATAAAACCACTGACACATTAAAGATGTGCTGCGTAACGTTTATCCTAAATTGCAGCCTTTGCGATTGTGCAGATTGCATCGTTTGTGTTATGACGGGACGGGGAACCCAGGTGTGGACATAGAGTAGGCAAGTGAAAGGTTCAGAAGAGTTTATTAAATGATAGATTGAACAGAAACCAATATAGAGGGAGGAACAAGGGCTGAGGCTGAGGGTGGGGGGTCATGACAGTTTGATTAATCGCTCAGGCCTTGCTGTGACGTCATGCCGCTGTGTTCCAGGCTGCAGGGTGTGTAAATGTAGGGAATTCTGATAAATTCAAATGATCAGAGGCAACATGTAGTGAAAATGTGGCTGAACATCTGGCCACACTTCAACGTACGACAACATATTTGACCCATTAGAAACCATTAGATGACAACTAACGTCAACCTTCAACCACCTCCAAGCTGATGTTACCATCTGATAGTGAAACATGCTACACAAGGAAATTAATTATTAATTTATGAAACATCTAAACACGTCTCGGACACGTTTATTCAGGCCTTGAACTAAAACACGCTGGATGCAGCTGAGCTTGTGTTGCACCGTTAACTGTCTTGGTTGTTGATATTTCAGAAGGAGTTATTGCCTCTCCAATTGTTTTATCTCACACTGTCAAAAAGCTGCAGGTTGCTAAAGGTTATCAAATATGTTGTCTGAAATGTGGCTTGAGAGGGTCCGCATCTTTAAGTTCCTCTGATTTCCCATCAGCAAGAACTTCACCTGAACCCACCACATCACCCGGCTGACCAGGTCGAGAGGAGGTTGAGGAGATTTAAACAGCCAACATCACTCATCTGAAGCTTCTGCAGGTGCACTATTGAGAGCATGCTCACTTGTAGCATCACATTAGGCACAGAAACTGCACACAAGTGGACCACAAGTACCTGCAGAGATGAAATCAGCCCAGCACATGTCTGCAGGACACCTAGACGTCAGAATGCCCAGTGACATAAACAGGAACCCCACCCACCTCTTTACTCGCCTTTACATTCTCATTTTGCACTTTTCTTTGTATATTTAATATTGGTTGAGTATGTATACAAGTGAGTGCATTCTACAAATAAGTTAATGGCAGCATTTGCAAGAAACATGTTTAGGTGTACCTTGTTTATTGGTGCATATGACACAAAAGGTCACTGATCATGTGCCACAAATCATGAGATTTGACTCAATCAGCCACAACATACACAGTGATTTCCTCACATATTTGTACACTTAATGTCAGGCCGGATTCGATGGGGAAAAGCAGACGTTTAATATTTTGCCCCCTCAGTTGACTTTTAATACTAAATGTGACGTCATTTAATTGTAAGTGGTGACTCTTGCTTCAATGCACGACTGCAGTGTTTGTTCAACTATCGTGAAAAAACTGTGCAGAACGTTTAAAACTGTGCAGTCGTGTCAGTCTGCACACAGCCGGACGACCTCAGTTTACTAGCATTTAGCTTTTCACTTACAAAGATATTCAAAAATTGCACGTGAGGCCAAAACACAGACTCCACAGTTGAAGACATTACAGCAGATCCAGAAGACGAAGCATTAAACCTGAGCAGGTGTTTCCAAAAAAAAAATCTACCCAGCTTCTCTACACATTGGAATGAGGTGTTGGTTATGTAGCTCGTGATTTAAGAATAGTTTTGCAAAAGTGACGCCATAGTTTTGTACACTTGTGGGACTTTTGGGTCAAATCGCAATGCAGATGTTGCATTTTACAAAGACATACCTTTGTTGTTTTCACAAGCAGACATAAAGTTGTGAGCAAGAAATTTACATACACTTGTAAAGACCATGTGTTCTTTCTTTCATAAAAATGGAAAAAACATGGAAATACAAATGTCTTTACCAGTGAATGCAAACTTTTGTATGACTGTATTTGTATGGCTGTTTGAGCCAGATTTTTTTTTAAAAAAGTTTGTTTTTGCTGTCTAATTGCATTTTAGTCACACAGTGTACCATGCAATGTGTGTAACTTTGGTCTCTACGGGCTATGAAGTGTGTTTGCTCTCATCTGGTGTATCCCTGGTAGGACAGTCGCCCCTATTAAAGTGTTGACACTCAGATCTGGCTCTGATCGCTGCGCAGAAGCAGCAGAAAACGTCCATGTTTGTGCCACAGTCATGGGATGCTTCGGTAAAACTCAGTCTCTTGTGTCTTTTGACTTGGTAATGTGTTTCTGTCAAATGCATTGCAGATTCATGTCACGTATGACTGGAGTTTTGTAGCTTGTAGTTACAGATGGATTGTTGAATTTTGGATCTGTCTTTGTATTAATTGTCCAAAACATTTGCAGAGAAACAGATGGCGTCGAACAACTCGCTGCCTGTGAGGAAGGTCAATGATAAGCTCATTTTTGTTCAAGTTTTGGTCTCGTGCTTTCTTTTCATCAACCTCCTTCTGATCACAACATTTTTCATGAATGATTTCTTCTACACGATCATGCGTTACATCTTGTTTACCACCATGCTGCTGTCTGATTGCCTGTTTTTAATACTGGCCGACGCCCTGCTCGTTTTGAACTCCTTGCATATTGTCATTCAGATGTGGTTGTGTCTTACTATGTATATTTTTTTGTCTTTGAACACATTTGTCACCCCTGTAACTCTGACAGCAATGACTCTGGAGAGATATGTGGCCATCTGCATGCCGCTGAGACATGGAGAGCTGTGCTCCACACTCAGCGCTGTGCGCTGGATCTACATCATCCACGGCCTCAGCTTTGTACCCTGCTTCGTTACTCTCTCTACTTTCTTTGCATCAGCCTCCCACACCTTCTACACCCAGCGCAGGCTCTGCTCTGTGGAAATATTCATTTTGTACAGGTGGCAGGGTTACCTGAGGTCAGCTATAAGCCAGTTGTACTTCTTGATCATGTGCATCATCATTTTTTTCTCCTACAATGGAATCATGAAAGTGGCCAAAGCTGCATCAGGAGAGGACAAAAAGTCGACACAAAAAGGCCTCAGGACTGTGACTCTTCATGCTTTCCAGCTGTTCCTCTGTCTCATCCATATGTGGTGCCCGTTCATCGAGAATGCTGTCATGCAGATTAATTTTTTGGTATATGTTAACCTTAGGTACTTTAATTATGTGACTTTTATTCTTTTGCCACGATGTCTGAGTCCTCTCATTTATGGCCTCAGGGATAAGATGTTCTTTCAGGCTCTGAAACATTATGCTCTCTGTGGCTTGTACAAGAAACATATAGCATATTAAAGTCATGAGGTTGCTGCACAAAAAGCTCACGTCTCTGCTTTGATGTTGTTATTCTAATGTAACTGAAATGACTTAATTGATCCTTTCACAACTGCAAAATCTTAGATGTGTCTACCAACACTTGCTGTCCATGAGCATGTGTGTGATTCTGTGGTACTGATGAATATGCTGCTCAATTTTCTGTGCACGTCCTTGTCATCCCTGTATTACTTTAGTTTGATGCCAACGGTCCTTGCTGCTCTCGTTACTGTGTGATTGTACCAACGTTGATACAATGAGTACTGAGAATAAAAGCTTCTACATTGCACATTTTGGATGTGTGTCATGAACAGTGCAGCTTTTTTTTAAAAAATCCATTGCTCTTCTTGAACAGTGTGCCCTCTCATTTAATGACTTAAATGATTTAAAAACAGCATTTGTTACCCAGAATTCCTCACTGCTGATAAAACTCACCATGTTTGTGGGGGTCTTAGTCATGTGCTCCCAGTGAAGGGACTTTTGAACAGCATGTTAAATACAATTATCATACCTTTTTCTGCTTTTTTTTTCGACACAGTGTCCTGGCAGGAGAGTTAAATCTGTGCTGTTTAAACTCACGTTTATCTGTGCAGTACATTTATGCTTCTCAATACAAATGAGAATCAGGTAAACGAATGGCAGAAATGTGCTAAAAACAGAAAGCATAAATAAGATACGACAACTTCAACAAAAGCAAATATAAACCAGTTGATACTGAGCTGCTGTTTAGGCGTATCTTAAATCCAATGTGAGAGAATTCAAAAGCACACTCTCCCCTTTTTTCTTTATGTTAGTGTGAGGAACAGTCAGTGAGCCCTTATCAGAGAACATCAGAGTCCTGCTGGTTGCTGTAACTTTGTCAGGCAGGTGTGACCATGCAGAGCTCTATAAGTGACCCCAAAAACCTTAATAAGGATTTTGAATTTGATGGAATCAAATGACATGTCAGCCCACAACTTCAGTCCAGACTGAATCCATGAACTGACTTTTCTCTTCGTGTGGCGTCACCATGAGCTCAACTGTTTGGGGTTTTCAGTGAAACACTTTGACCAGAGGTAGGCCGGCGACAGCAAGCAGCCCGGGTTGTTGAACTGACACGACGTGTTTGTCAAGCAACAAATCATTAATCAAAACACACACGCACACTTGACTTGACACAAGAATAAAGTCCATCTTTACCCATTTACAGGTAAAGGTGACAACAATTGTTTTTCAAGCACTGGAGAAAAATCCAGCATAAACCTTTCTACATGTTTACGCATGCACATGGTATGCATGCACAAACACAAAATGTCTACATTTAACTCGATAAAGATTTACCTTATCTTATCTTATGTTTGAGTCTGAGAGTTAAACCTTGGAAATGGTCAAACCTGCAGCATGAATGTTACTTTAAAACCCAAAGTAATATAATTTGTTCTTCAGTGATTCACAGCACAGAGCTAAAAAGCATCTGCTCACTAATTATTACCTGAAGTTTCTGTCACTACAGCCAAAAAAAATCTTTTTTTGTTTGACACCTTCACTGCACTCACACATGAACAAACATCTATATACAGTTGAAACCAAAAGTTTACATACGCTGTAAAAAAAAAAAAAAAAAAGACACATGACCTTTTTTCAATTCTTTTTCTGTCTGACATTAAATGTGAATAAACCTTTCCTGTTTTAGGTCACTTAGGATTAACAACATTATTTCTATTTGCTGAACACCAGAATAATGAGAGAGAGATTTTTTTTTATTATTACTTTCTTCAAAGTCAGAAGTTTCCATACATTCCTTAGTATTTGGTAGCATTGCCTTTAAACTGTATGACTTGGGTCAAATGTTTTGGGTTTCCTTCCACAAGTTTCTCACAATAGTTTTGTGGAACTTTGGCCCAATACTCCTGACACAACTGGTGTAACTGAGTCAGGTTTGTTGGCCACCTTGCTCCACACGTCTTTTCAGCTCTGCTCACAAATTGTCTACAGGATTGAGATCAGGGTTTTGTGATGGCCACTCTAAAACATTGACTTTGCTGTCCTGAAGCCTCTTTGTAACTAATTTGGTGATATGTTTAGGGTCATCGTCCATTTGGAAGACCCACATTTTAACTTCCTGGCTGATGTCTTGAGATGTAGCTACAACATTTCCACATCTTTCCTCATGATGCCATCTATCTTGTGAAGTACACCAGTCCCTCCTCCAGCAAAACACCCCCACAACATGATGCTGCCACCCCCGTGCTTCACAGTTGGGATGGTGATCTCAGGCTTGCAAGCTTCCTCCTTTTATATCTCCAAAGGTACCAATGGTTATTACCCCAAAACAGTGTAAATTTAGTTTCATCAGACCACAGGAAATGTTTCAAAAGTTAATATCTTTGTCCTTTTGTGCATTTGCAAACTGTAATCTGGCTCTTTTATGTTGCTTTTGGATGAATGGCTTCTTCCTCTCTGAGTAGCCTTTCAGCCCATGCAGGTACACTGTGGATAATAACACTCTCTTACCAGCTTCAGCAACATCTTCACAAGATCTTTTGCTTTTGTTATGGGGTTGATTCGCACATTTTGAACCCAAACACGTTCATCTCTGGGACACAGAACCCGCCTCCTTCCTGAGCGGTATGATGGCTGGACATTCCCATGGTGTTTGTACTCATACATGTATAATTGTTTGGACAGATGAACGTGGAACCTTCAGACATCTGGAAGTTGTACCCAAGGATGAACCAGACTTCTCTTCCTAATACCTTGGCTTATTTCTTTAGATTTGACCTGCGAGGCCTTTGGATCCAACAATCAAAACATACAAACACGCACACACACGCACACACATGGCATGAGACAAAAAGTACGATTCATCCACTGAGCACCATGTCAACTTCAATATTTCCCTCTGAAGAAACATGGTGAAACCAACTGACCAACTAATGTTGTCATCCTAAGAACACATTTTTGTGTAGCAACTTTGATTCTGTAACTCATCAAACATCATCTAATAGTGTCTTGTTTAGAATATTTGCATTTTCAAGTTTAAGTACGTTTGGTACCTTTCACAATCATAGAAAACACCAGGTCTTTTGTAAAACTTGCCCCATCTCTTCTTCATGGAAAACTATGGAACTCAAAACTCATTAACTCATCAACAAGTAAAAGTTCTGAGATTTCTTTCCAGCCTCACTCGGAGCTCTAACAATAGACAGCCAATGAGGAGGACGAGCCGAAAGTGACGATGACGACTGTTGAGCAACGCTTCATTTGGTCTTATTCAAGTCTTTAAAGTCTCAGAGGCTGCACAGAGCTCAGCAGAAGACGTCTGTCTTCAGCGCAAGGTGGTGGTTTAGGTAAACTGCTGTACTCTTATTGTTTGATATAACTTTTGTGTGTTTTTGTCGAATTATTCATGGATAACAGCTCAGGGCTTCATGATGAGCTCTCTCTGCTGCAGGACAATGCCCCGATCATTATTCTGCAGATTCTAGTGGCAGTTTTCTTTTCCGTCAATGTGTTGCTTATTGTGACCTTTTTTAAAAAGGAATGCTTCCACACATCAATGCGTTACATACTGTTTGCTGTGATGCTGTTTTGTGACAGTTTGCTGCTCTTACTCAGCTATCTTCTGCTCATCTTGATCCATTTTAACGTCCGAATGCAAGTTGGGATTTGTGTTGTATTATGTTTAACGTTGACTCTGTATTTTACAGTCACACCAGTCACGCTGACAGCCATGGCGCTGGAGCGTTACGTGGCTATTTGCATTCCCCTGCATCATGCACAGCTGTGCTCCACACACAGCACCATACACGTCATCCTCATCATTCATGCCATCGGCTTCACACGCTGCATTGTTATTTTCTCTCCTTTCTTTGCATCAGCCTCCCTTCACGTCTACACACAGGTCAAATTCTGCTCTGTTGAGATGTTCATCATTTATAAATGGCAGGATCATGTTCGGTCGGCTGTAAGTCAACTGTACTTCTTGATCATGTGTGTCGTCATTGTTTTCTGCTATGTGAAAATAATGAAAGTGGCCAAAGCTGCATCAGGAGAGAACAAAAAGTCGACACAAAAAGGCCTCAGGACTGTGATTCTTCATGCTTTCCAGCTGTTCCTCTGTCTCATCCATCTGTGGTGCCCGCTCATAGAAGCTGCTGTCCTTCGATTTAATTTCATGTTATTTAGGAAAGTCAGGTTGTTTAACTACACGATGTTTAGTATTGCTCCGAGGTGTCTGAGTCCTCTCATTTATGGCCTCAGGGATGAAGCATTTTTCCTCACACTCAAAAGCTACGCCGTCTTTGGTTTGTTTCGAAGAATTGGGATTAATAACAGAAATGCACACTAAATTTATGTTGAGTTCATTTCATCAAAACATGCTGGAAATAACTGTATGGACGTCTAAGAGTCAGTGTGATTGTATTGTCAAATGCCACACAAACGCTTTGAGAAAATTTAAGATGAACAATGATTTTGTAAATTTGCGTAATTTCTTAATTGAAGTGACTACACGTGTCTGCTCTTTACTGTCCTGCATGTCATATTTTATGTTTTACTGTCTGAAGACCTGAATACCCAACAACAGCTGCTTGTTCACAGTTATTACTTTTATATCTCATGTTTGTTCTCTCTGCTGTTATCACTATGATGTTGTTTTGTTAGCTTTTAGTACAATAAAGTATGTAAACCTACTGTTGTTTTTGTTTAATTGTATCAGTAATGCATTCATTATATATTGAATACTGAAAATGTATTCATCCACTCCCACTTATATTGCTGCTTAGAAATTCATGTGGAAAACTTCCCTTCAATCAGTCACAACCTGCTTTTCAAGTGTAATTTACACAGAAATTGTAAATACATTTAAATTTTGGTTTATGTTAATAGATGACATTTATGTATAACTTGTGCAAGAGATGCACATTATTATATATAAATCGCCGCTTTAATTTATAGTTGTGTTTGCTTGCTTTTCCGACTGTCACTTTGCTGCTGTGACTTTGCAAATTTCCCCTTGTGTGACTAATAAAGGATATTTTATCATATTCTATTAAAACTAAAAAGACTGTGACGATGCTTTTATGTGAAGTGTGTATGAGATTCCCTTTCTTTAAGTCAGATACAGTTGAAACCACAAATTTACATATACTTTATAAGAAGACATATTACCTTTTTTTTTCTCACTGTCTGAAATTAAATCCGCCTAAACTTTTCCTGTTTTAGGTCACTTAGGATTAACAACATTATTTCTATTTGATGAACACCAGAATAATGAGAGAGAGAATTTTTTTAAATTACTTTCTTCAATGTCAGAAGTTTACATACATTTCCTTAGTATTCGGTAGCGTTGCCTTTAAACTGTATGACTTGGGTCAGATGTTTAAGGTTTCCTTCCACAAGCTTCTCACAATAGTTTGATGAATTCTGGCCCATTCCTCCTGACAGAACTGGTGGAACTGAGTCAGGTTTGTTGGCCACCTTGCTCCACACTCCTTTTCAGCTCTGCCCACACATTGTCTACAGGATTGAGATCAGGGCTTTGTGATGGCCACACCACAACATTGACTTTGCTGTCCTGAAGCCTCTTTGTAACTAATTTGGTGATATGTTTAGGGTCATTGTCCATTTGGAAGACCCACATTTCAACTTCCAGGCTGATGTCTTGAGATGTTGCTACAATTTCCACATCTTTCCTCATGATGCCATCTATCTTGTGAAGTGCATCAGTCCCTCCTGCAGCAAAACACCTCCACAACATGATGCTGCCACCCCCGTGCTTCACAGTTGGGATGGTGTTCTCAGGCTGACAAGCTTCCCCCTTTTATGTCCAAATGTAACGATGGTTATTACGGCAAAACAGTGTAAATTTAGTTTCATCAGACCACAGGCCATGTCTCCAAAAATGAAGATCTTTGTCCTTTTGTGCATTTGCAAACTGTAATCTGGCTTTTTTTATGTTGCTTTTGGATGAATGTCTTCTTCCTCTCTGAGTAGCCTTTCAGCGCATGTCAGTACAGGACTCATGTCACTGTGGATAATAAAACGCTCTTACCAGTTAGCTCACTTCCTTTTCAGTGCTGTTGACTTGCTTCTACCACCAGGTGGTACGAAAGAGCATCCAACTCCAACTTTGACCCCCCTTCAGTTTTTTTTTCTGTGAATTTTATTTTTATTTTTTAAAATGTCTTTATTTAGGGCTGCAAGTTGGTAGCACTGTTGTCTAACAGCTCGAAGGTCGCCAGTTCGCAATGTAGGTTCTCCGGCTTCCTCCCACAAGTCCAAAAACATGTTGNATATTCTATTAAAACTAAGAAGGCTATGACGATGCTTTTATGTGAAGTATGTATGAGATTCCCTTTCTTTAAGTCAGATACAGTTGAAACCACAAGTTTACATACACTTTATAAAAAGACACCTGACCTATTTTTCTCACTGTCTGAAATTAAATCATACTAAACTTTTCCTGTTTTAGGTCACTTAGGATTAACAAAATTATTTCTATTTGATGAACACCAGAATAATGAGAGAGAGATTTTGTTTTTTTTTACTTTCTTCAAAGTCAGAAGTTTACATACATTCCTTAGTATTCAGTAGCGTTGCCTTTAAACTGTATGACTTGCGTTTAAGGTTTCTTTCCACAAGCTTCTCACAATAGTTTGCTGGAATTCTGGCCCATTCCTCCTGACAGAACTGGTGGAACTGAGTCAGGTTTGTTGGCCACCTTGCTCCACACATCTTTTCAGCTCTGCCCACAAATTTTCTACATGACTGAGATCAGGGCTTTGTGGTGGTCACTCCAAAACATTGACTTTGCTGTCCTGAAGCCTCTTTGTAACTAATTTGGTGATATGCTTAGAGTCATTGTCCGTTTGGAAGACCCACATTTTAACTTCCTGGCTGATGTCTTGAGATGTTGCTTCAATATTTCCACATCATGTTCTTTCCTCATGATACCATCTATCTTGTGAAGTGCACCAGTCCCTCCTCCAGCAAAACACCCCCACAACATGATGCTGCCACCGCCGTGCTTCACAGTTGGGATGGTGTTCTCAGGCTTGCAAGCTTCCCCCTTTTATATCCAAATGTAACGATGGTCATTACGGCAAAACAGTTTAAATTTAGTTTCATCAGACCACAGGCCATGTCTCCAAAAATGAAGATCTTTGTCCTGTGTGCATTTGCAAACTGTAATCTGGCTTTTTTTTATGTTGCTTTTGGATGAATGTCTTCCTTTCAGCCCATGTCAGTCCAGGACTCATGTCACTGTGGATAATGACACTCTCTTACCAGTTAGCTCACTTCCTTTTTAGTGCTGTTGACTTGCTTCTACCACCAGGTGGTACGAAAGAGCATCCAACTCCAACTTTGACCCCCCTTCAGTTTTTTTTCTGTGAATTTTATTTTTATTTTTTAAAATGTCTTTATTTAGGGCTGCAAGGCGGCGCAGTTGGTAGCAGTGTTGTCTAACAGCTCGAAGGTCACCAGTTCGCAATGTAGGTTCTCCGGCTTCCTCTCACAAGTCCAAAAACATGTTGAGGTTAATTGGTGATTCTAAATTGTCCATAGGTGTGAATGTGAGTGTGCTTGGTTGTCTGTCTCTAAGTGTAGCCCT